GGCGGCCGGGGGTCGGGCTGCGGGCGAGCCCCCGGTGCAGGTAACGGGCCGGGCCGGCTCCCGCCGCGAGGCGATCGCGCCCGCTTCCCGAGTTCCGAAGCGGGGGTCTGCAACAAACCCCCGAGATCGCATCCTTCCCACTGTGCTTAACTTCAATCCAGAGAAAAGGGGATCGTTAAAAGTTCACGCTAACTGTACGCAGCTCTTCACACAAAGTAATAATTAACACACAAACTCAAATCCAAACAAAATATCACCATTCTTTTTGTGGGAACACCACCTTGTTTATTCAGAGTGTAATACTGTCTACTTTCCTTCATAAGACTTAAAAAAGATCAAAATATAGGGAAAATGTACAGTTAAAACTAAAAATGATTCAAATACTTGGGCAGAATGTCCCTCAACTCTTTCACACGTGTAAAAAAAAAAGTGTCAAAATAGATGAGTGATATAAACTCAAAATGAAAAATTTTTCTTTTACTGAAAAGGAGGACATCCAGCTCGCACAAACGGTGGTTCCACTGAAGGCAAGACATTGCTGGTTTTCCTCTAGACTGGGGTGGATCGTGAACTCCCCCGAGTTACAAATGAGTTGCTCTTTCCAGGCTTTTCGAAGCATCTTTAAGTTTCCCCACCAAGTCCTAAAAGACGTATATAATGCCACCTTTTTAGGATGAATCACGAAAAGGAGTATCCAAGTTTGAGAAAAATGCAAGAGAAAAGTCGGGAGACACTTTCTAAACAAGTTTAAAATTCACAAGGATTTTAACTTTTGACAAACCAGTATCTATGAAAAGCAGCGTTTCTTCTAAAATATCTCATCTTCAAATCGGCTATTTGCCCTCAGATTGAAAATGATTTCTAACCGAATCTTAACAGGCAAGGTATATCTAAATTAAATTTCTCAAGTTATCTATCAAAGGTTATGCTGTATACAAATGTTCTGAAAGTTTAAAGTTTGATTAATAGCTACATTATAAAGACTGCAGGAGATGATTTTGAAAAATTCATTTTCATCTAAATTTTCAGTAATGATCTTCATTTTTTTAAGTGGTAAGAAATAAATTCGTTGTCATATCCATTAATCATGTAGTTTTGAATTTCCCCAGTCTTAAATTGGCAATATAAACAGTCTAAGAATTTTAGCTACACTTCCCTTTCTAAAAAGTCATTTAAAACTGATGTTTAAAAATCCAATTTTGAAAGTTTAATTCAATTTCTGAAAGCAAAGAGGACATTTTCAAAGCCATGCTCTTCATTCTGCTTTATCTTATTGAATCAAACTCATCATGAATAGAAGGAATTTACACTAAACACTACACTTCAGAAGTTTACTTTAATCAGGGGAATAGCAAATACAGACCAATTCTCTATTAGTAACATCTTAATTTCAAAAATGAAGCCTATGTCAAAATACTGCTTTTGAAGCCTTCTTCCCATGAAATCCTTAACCAACCTTCTTTATCTGCTGACAGTTGTTTAGATCGTTCTTCTTTTGAAATTTCCATAAACATAATTCTCAAACATCTACTAAAAGGAATATTCACAGATCCTGATACTGTACCTGTAATTGTTCCATGTTGCAACTAAAACTAATCTCTGGGTAAGATCGCGAATCAGTGTTCTAGGGAAGAAAAAAATGCTGTTTATTTAAATCAAGTTAATTTTAAATTTTATTACACATTTCATTTTTAGGCAGGGCTTATCTATAAATACCTCTATATTTAAGGTCACCAAATATGCAGGTCTGTACATCTTATGAAGCTGATTGGTCTAAAAACAACACAACATATACAAATCAGCCTCTAACCCTATTTTTCTAAGTTCCCTAAATCCCCCTAGAGAACAGTTTGTTAAGCATTACCTTTATCTGATACTCCAAGCGCCAAGAAACATCAGTTATATGAGGAAGAGATCTGCCTATACTGAAAGATACAATGATAATTTTGTACATAATAGCTACAGAAAAACTTTCAGTATTTATCTTTGCTAAGAATGGTGTCTATCTTCCACCACCCCTCATTTTAATCCATTCTGAATTTAAAACACTGTTAAACTTTATTTTCAAGTTCTAAATAGTAAAAGAGCATTTAAAAATCATCTCAATAAATATGATCTTTAAAAACATAAGCTTAATTTCAATTATTTCACTTGCCCTTTGGCCCCTTCTCTTTGGGTCAAGATCCCCGGGTTTTCTGCCCTGTTTTGTTTCACACCAGCACTTTATTCATACCTGCAAGTGAAAAGTGCCTCAGCTTGACACCTTATACAGTACCTACCTTCCCAGTAGGATTTCTATGGAATTCTTATTATTCTGGGGAGGAAAAGAAAAGACAAAAAGAAAGAAAACACATGTTTGCAAACAGAGTAGGAAAAAAAAATAGTAATTGTTAATTTTTTTAAATTGTTTTAAATTTAACATTTTAAAGTAAGTAACCTGGTATTCCGTGCAAAACAGTTCTATTCGCTCTCTGTCAAATTTACAGTCTTCTAGATAAGTGCTAGAGGGAAAAAAAAAAAAAAAGACAAAACCAAAGTTTAGTCTCCATTTTGAAAACTGAAATTGGAATTATAAAGGTACTATTTGAAAACAAATGGATATTTAAATAAATCCTGTACCTCAGAGTTGATTTATCAGCTCGGTGCTTTCCTGCCTCTAATATGTAAGTTGCAGCTGCTGCATGACAATGTTTTAAAACCACTGGGTCGATATGTTTCAAGTCTGGGTGATCTAAAATAAATTAATTGCCAGTGATGCCTGTAATAATAAATTCTTTATAGTCATGTTTCCAAAAAGGATATTTTAATTTGTGTAAAAACTCCTAACAAGGTAACAAAAATATTTCAACTGTAAGGACTGTCAATTATAAGTAAATGAGATTAGCAACGAGGTCAATTGCAAAACAATAAAGAGAACATATCAATAGTTCTGCTGTTACTTGGTTTCAATTATCTTCTTTTATTTTCCCTTAATATTTTTACTGTTTAAAAAAAATTCTAGCCCCTCCCCCACCAATAACAATACGCTGGTCATTCTAGTACTAGATGTAGTAAATTCAAAGGAAAAACCAGAAAAATATTTTATATAGTGTAACTTTTAGAATGAATAAACTTTCACTTTAAATATGATGAATTTTAGGGTAAATGTCTCCGTGGACATTAACACATCAAAAGGTTAGAAGGGAGGGCATGAGTTCAGAATATAAAATACAAATTTCAAAATTATATCAGTATTTTCAGGTTTTGACAGACTTTTCTTCTTGAGATTAACCCAGGTGGTGGTTACTATTTTCGTTTGAAGAACTTCCACTTTAATACTTTTTGTTTAAGTGTTTAGTTCATGAAACTACAGAAAAAAAAATGTTTTGAATGGTTGGAATATTTATATTTAAGAAAATTATCTAAAAGCGTTGTCTTAAAATATGCCTTCAATCCATACTGACACTGCACTTCGCAATCACTGACCGGGCCGCTTAAAAGAGACTTGCCTCCCGGTCTGATGCAGAACAAAGCATTATGCACCATGTTTTAAGGTTCTAGGCGTAGAACCTGTGTAAAACATACTGAACTAGAATGTTGCAGTGGTCACAGGAACTTGAGATATTCTCCAAGGTGGAAAACGTCAACACTGTTTGACTCAATAATTACTTCGGAAACAGACTCCTTTAAACCTTTGCCAGCCTAGCCCTGGAAGCTTGAATTGCAGAGAGCTCCCCAGATGAAATCCAAATGTCATAACAGCTGATGCAGCAGACCAGGCTGAAAACCTCCGATTGTTTAGGCCACAAACAAGACTTGAACACGGGCTTTACAAAGGAACAAAGAGACTGGGAGGGAAATCAGGCCAGGAAAGTGTAGCTGGCTACGTGCAGGTGCCAAGTGGGGATAGAACAATGCTCAAGGTCCGCTCGGGGTCCTGGCAGAGTCACGTCCCCACACTCCGTCCGGAGCGAAGGGCAAAGCTCGGAGACTTCCTCTTCCCGGGGCTTTCCCCCTCTGGCTCGGTCTGTCTCCTCGGCTCCGAGCGCCCCTCCACCCTGGCCGATCCAGCTCGGAGCCGAGCGGCTTACCTAACACGGCCTCGTCTGCCTGCGCGTCCAGCAGGCTCTGGTAAGCCGCCCGGAGGAGAAGCGTGAAGGCGTTGGAGTCGAAGGAGCCGGGATCCGCCAGCATCTGGAAGCCTTTCTGCACAGGCGGCCCCGGGCGCTTTGTGGACGCGCTCCCGCTCTCTATCCTCTCCTCGGAGCTCACCTAGGACAGTCACCGGCTCCGTTCGCTGAGAGACCCTGGGACGGGGTGGAAGGTGTCGGGGTCCCGGCCCCCACCGCCCCGCAGATACGCCCTCCCGCCCTTAGCTCAGCGCGATATCCTGCGGGAAGCCCCGATTTAAGGCAACCGGTTTTTGTTTGTTTTTGTTTTTTTAAACATACCTGTTTAACCCCGCAGCACTGCCCTTTAATGAGTGAGATTGTAGACATCTAATTAAAATTCTTGTTTATTCTGACTTTTCTTTGTCATTTTTGGAATACGGCAATAGAGTCCTCCCTGCACGGGCGTGTGTGTGTGTACATACACATATATGCACACATGTAGTGTGTGTGTCTACGCACTGTACTTCAACAATTGGGGGTTAATAAATTATTCATGAACATACTTGACAGGATTATTAAAAATTTTACATGCCGCTGCAAAGAAATATCTTCCAAAAGCAAACTGCGACACATTTTGTGCTAGTGTACTCACTACGTCTATGGGTCCAGTTTTAATTACCCAACAGAATCTTCATAAATACATTAGACAGTTATCTTGGTACAGTTGTGAATGGCAAGATCTTTATTAGAAGTGAATTTCTGTTTCGGATACCCATAGCTTTAAAGATTCAAATATTGTACGAAGTGTAACTTCCCCTCTATTTCTACGAAGTTAGTTTGGAGAACAAGAGTGATTCTTTAAAAAGAGTGATTCAAAAAAACCGCGAAGCAGATTAGCCATTTTTTTTTTTTATCAAAAGAACTTGGAAAGTAAAAAATGCAAGTTCTTGAAGTGTAGGGAAGGGACACCGAACAAGAAGGGTGTTTTTGACTTCATGAGCAATTTTTTGCAACGTTAGACTCAATGTAAAACCTTCTCTTCTTTGGCAAAATTTAGGTGACTATTTGAAAAAAATGTACTTACTGAATACAGTGTTTAACCTTGCCCAATACACAGAGAGTACTTCACTTCACAAAACAGGACGCAAGTGGCATAATGTAGCGTCAGTAACAGGTTGAGTAACTCTACTCAGTCCTGTGATAGCTTTGAAAGGCGCGTGCACTTTACCATCTCTTTACTCGGTGGGGATATAGGAGGGGTCCCAGTGAAGGATTTGAAAGATTCCTTGGAGTCTTTATGAAACAAACACCTATTAATCATGCTCATCTTTTCTTTCTATCTCTCGTTTTCTTTCTAATGTCTTTGTTTCTCATCAGTAGTTAAATGTCAGTTGAAAAATTTCAAGATACCTGATTTAAATTGGGAATATTTTACAAGGCAGAGTTGTGTAACTGTTAATATTAACAACACCCAAGCTCATTGTGTTTATTATACATATATTTTATGACCTAGCACAACACTGATTGTTAATTCTCTAATAGAATTTGAGTTGGTAACTCTAATCCCAATTTATTGTCAAAAAAAAAAAAGCATTAATGTGTGAGCACAAATTTTAAAATGTTACTTTAAAAGAGGAAAGTAAACACAAGTGGTTGTGAGTTTGTGGGCGTAAAAGTTAGGAAATTCAAAAGCATTGTTTCCATAATAGCTGTCATGTTACTCTCTTGCCCCTATTAGGTACCTTTTCTTGTAGAATGTTTGTCCTCTTCCACCTAAATATACCCATATACGAGTATTAGGCCTAAGTGATGGGTACATTTCCAGCTCACACAAAAATTTTAACCATAATGTTTTCTGATGCTAGAAAAACTGTGTTCTTTTACTACAGGTATATTTATTTCAACTCTCTTTGAAGGAAGCACAGTATTATTTGTTTAAATGTAGAACATGTATGTCTTTGACAAGTCATTGAAATATATAGATGCATGATCATTAAAAGGCATGATTACCCAGATGTAGACTCTCTTGTTTGCAGCAATAAAACCAATGCATTTTATATTGTTAGAAAAACTATGTATGAACATATTCTGAAAGTGTGAAAAATATTATTTAAAAATGTTGTTTTGGTCACTGAAGACAGCATTGAAACTTTCACTAAATGTTAAAAAAACTCTGAAGCTCAAAGCCAATAGACCACATTTGACCTCAAAGAGCCTTTTAAAAGAACAATTATGTGCAGCTGAAAATAACAAAATAGATATTCAAACATGTTCATGTTAATAATATGTCTTGCCTTCTAAACTGCAAATATTAAGGTAGGCAATACTGATAAATTTGTCTTTCTTTTTGAGAGTCTAGACATCATGCAAAGGACTAGAAAGTATAATTTTAAACAATGTTTTAAATTTCAGAATTCATTATGTCCTTTGAACTGGTTAGTTAACTTTTTTAGAAACCAACTTAATATTAGTCCCTTCACTGTGATTACAATTAAAATGGGTTGGGGCTTTTACAGGATCCATGCGGTCAGCTTTTTCCAAAGGCCTCATTGCCACATTTATTAGTTTTATGAATTAAAATATTTTCTTTTTTAGATTGTATGAGTACTTTTGCTTTTGTGCAAAGAAAGCTGAAAGAAGGTATTACTTTAAATTGAAGAGTCCATTGAACATCCATAGAAAGAAAAAAATAAAAAACAAAAACCAGTTTGCCTAAGAGCCAATGAAACATTCAGAGTTTTCACTGGTCTATATACCATGTATTCTAATGCGGAGCTATGTTACTCCTGCCCATGAAATACCTGCTCATTTTCTAGAGAGAAGAAAGTTTAAAATATTTTTTTAAAAAAAGCACAACTACCTGTATGTAGGAAACCATCTTCTCTCTAACCATTAATACTGATTCTTCGATGGCTAGTTATCTTAAAATCTAGAGATATTTATTAATGAAAATAGAATTTACTGTTTTTAAGCTACTTTAACCACAAATGGACAGTTGGGAGGAATATTCAACTGAGTTATGCATGACATTTGAGAGTATAGGTCAAAAACCAGTTTAGTGAAGTTTATAAAACCTACCTACATTATTTTTATTAAGTATCTTAAATAAATATCTTAAATTAAATAGATTGAGATTGGAATTTGAATGGTTAAATTTTTGCACATTCATGATCACAGAGTTCAGTAGTCTCAAATTGCACCTTATATCTCCTACATTGTCAGACACCAAATTGGGTACTGAAAAGGTACAACAAAGCATTTATTTTCAAAGTAAACGTGTAATCCAAATCCCTGATAATTTCTAAATTGTCATTGCTCCAATAATTAATTCAGGCAAATATAACCTTTTTTCTCTCACATAATATAGCCTAATTTTTACAAGGAGATTTAAAAATAAAACTCAAATTCATTTTAATGATGTTTGTGTCTCAATATGTGAAAGAAAGGAAAATGCTAGTTATATTAAAGAAACTGGAACCAGAGGTATGAAAATCAATGATACAATGTTCTCTAAAACACTTAGAAAATTTATGCTTATGGTTTTGCACAGGTGTTTTGGATTCTTTCCCTAAAATTTTTACTCAGAACATTTGGATTAAATAGTAAATGGTACAATTTCTATGTAAGTCATATTTGCAACACTGAGGACCATTTAAAATTTTTCATTTTTCATACAGTTGTGTCAGGGAAACAAAATATAAAACTTAAAAATATAACAATAAGAAAAATTAAATATTTTAAATCTAAGTTTTAAAAGGTCAAATTATCATGCTACTAAGAAATTGACCTTCTTAAAAAGATAAATCTCAAAGCATTTCCTGAAGTTAGGAAACTAAAATTTTGTTAAATTTTGCCAACAGAAAATTCTATAGTCAAGATTCAGGCAGAATACTCTTGAATTTCTGAAGCGAAGTTTGGAAACTATCACCAGTGGTGCCACGGCATGATTTTGTTAGCTACTTGAGTCAGAATAAGGTGACTCTAAAATTAAGAATTTATTTTAATAAATTCGTGAGTCAAATTATAATTTTTAATATCAAGTCTTGGTATATAACCAGTCTATAGTTTTAAAAAGATTTTGTGCATATGAGAAAAGTCGTGTTTTCCCTTTAGGGCTTTTGTGTATCATATTGAAACTCACTTTAGGAACTTTGATCCCTTATTTTTAAGCAAAGCAATTAATGTCACATAGGAATACTGAATTTTACAGACTAAAATTGTGACGTTTTCATTATTATTAGGAACTGATTTGTAGAAAAAGAAAAGAAAAGAAATAAATGTAACTTAGCAGAAGATGAGAGCAAATTTTAATTTAAAGGTAAGGAAATTAGGAAGAAATTATATTTCATGTAGCTTTAATGAGAAAAGAACAGGTTAAATTATGTGTCTTAGAATTTCTCTACATAGACAAATAAAAAACAGTAATTTGCCTTTAAATTCTGTAAGGAATTTAAATGATTACAATTTACTTACGTTTTGTAGGGGTTGTAAAAAGCAAGTTTACTCCTTCAATCACATAATTTAGATCTACTTCACCAGTGAATTAATGTGAAAATTAGGAGCTGACCAATCATCTAATAAATGCTGTGAAACATATAATTTATTTTTTTATTTTACTTTAAAATAGAAAATTTAGATAACAAGCACAGTTACCCCCTCAACAGCAGGTTGATTTTTTTCTTCTTTACTTAAGTTATAAAGATCACCACTTCCATTTTCTACATAATTGATCTGGTATTGTCCAGAATGACCAAGGGGCTTAGTTATAACAGGGTAAAAATGGAGCATAAACATATTGAAACAAGTTTACTTTGATGAATATATCAAATTCTTCCATACATATATGCAGACTGTACTTTAAATTGTTAGCATATTTTTAAAAAGAGAGAGAGGGAGGGACAGAGGAAGGAGGAGAGAGGTACAGAAAGAAAGAGAGAAAAGGTAGGGAAAGGGGGAGAGAGTGAGGAAGGGAAGAAAGGTTTTTCCTTCCATGGGGAGAAATATCACAGAAAGCTTGTTTACTGTTGATTCTCTCTGACACAATTCATTACAGCAAGATTCTCACAGCTACAGCGAATTCAACTGAGCTTCACAGTAATGCTCAAAATAGACTAGAAGATCATCTGTCCTGTCCAGGATCTAATCAGTTTCAGGATGTCCTACATTTAGACTACAACAGCAGAGAATATCTAACAGATTCTCTTCCTTTTTTGGTTCTGGATTTAGAATATCTCTTCTAACATTGTATTTTCTCATACCTCGGAAATTAAAGTTTTGGCCAGATCCTAGAATTCCAGCAAAAATTTGAGCAAATAGGCCTATGTTATGGAATATTATTGTATAACATTGTATTTTCTCATACCTCGGAAATTAAAGTTTTGGCCAGATCCTAGAATTCCAGCACAAATTTGAGCAAATAGGCCTATGTTATGGAATATTATTGTATATAATGAATAATTTTTACAAGTTTGTATTTTGAGAACATACTCTTTACAGATTAAAACTTGAAATTTATGTAATGTGCAAATATTCATATTTATTTTGTTTAAGGGAATAGAATTTTACAAAGAAAAGTGGAAACAGAAACAAATGAAATGAACACTATATTTTACAGATTAAAACTCCGGTTTTTTGAGAACATACTCTTTACAGATTAAAACTTGAAATTTATGTAATGTGCAAATATTCATACTTATTTTGTTTAAGGGAATAGAATTTTACAAAGAAAAGTGGAAACAGAAACAAATGAAATGAACACTATATTTTACAGATTAAAACTCAGGTAATCTGTACTTGCTTATAAATCAAAAGATTTGAGTATTTTCACATATCAAATGAAAGCATCTCAGAATGGAAGTTATGTGTATAAGAAGGGATGACCTGAATTAAATACATGCTAAACACTAAAAAAGACTATACTAAATGTACTTTTAGCTCATTTAAACATTTAAACCAAAGTTAATATTTTAAAAGAGCTTATCCAGCTAAGAAAGGCCTAGATAAAAGTGTTTTAATATTTTGAAATACGTATAACATTTAAAATATATTGGTTAAGAATTTAATATTTTAATTATGGTTGTTATAAATATGTTGTTTTCAACGAGTATATATTTTATCTCCCTTGGCAAAATAAAATATAGACTTAAAACAATTTTATGGAAATTCACTCAAAAATTCTTGTAAAAAAAACCTTAGTAGAGTAATTGTGTCCAACTTTCTCACATTTCTTGCATAGATAGAACAATTCAGAAAATACTTAGAATTGTTTATACATAACTGATTTTACACCATGGTAAATCTTCAGAGTAATTTTATAGACTGTTGAGAAAATAAGCACTTAGAAAATGGATAAAACTTTTCCACTGTATTTCTTTCCATAGACTCAGTTTTTTCTCCCTGTTTTCCTTTGACTGTTTTATTAAGGTTAAAACATAAACATTATTGTTCTAACTCTTTCAAAAGTTATTTTCAAAATTAGATTTCTTCGTGTAAGCATTTTAATCTGTATTTTATGGAAAGGATTTTGGGGGGCAAGTTTTGTAAAATCTTTTTAATGTAATAAAATACCAAGAAAACAATGACCAGTAACAGGATGAAAGGGACAATTGTATTTATATAGTCAATTTAGTCCATGTAATTAGAAACTGGGACATGAGTTACTAGATTCTGGGTAATTACTCAGCTTTCTTTTCTTTTCTTTTCCTTTTTTATGCTAAAGGAAATAGGCCTGGATCATTTGGAGCAACAGCATTCTAAATCAAAATTAATCAGATAATTGGCAACTTTTCTTTGACTTGCTGTGCTCTATCAATTACGGACCAAGAAATGAGAAGAAACGTGTTAAATAATAATAATGTAGATAGAAATATATGGGCAAATGAGGCCTAGGAAAACTGAATTTTCATATGTTTTTCTTAAAATTTGAAAGTGACAGAAAATTTTAAATGAGACCCAACTATGACACATAAGTACCAGTTGACAGAGGTATAAGAAAACTTTAATTTTGCTAAAATAATAATTTAATTAAAATGTTTGTGAATTGAAATAAAGGATAGTCTTATAAGGTCAAATGTTTCAATAAAGACATTTTGTCTTATAAATTTCTATAGATAATATGCATTATTCTTTTTTTTTTTTCCCCTTTTCGTCTTTTTTTTTTTACTGACCGGTAACGGGATCGCAACCCTCGGTGTTGCACCCGCACCACGCTCAGCCAGTGAGCGGGAACCGGTCTCCACATGGGATCCGAACCCTCGGCAGGAACGCCGCCGCGCTCCCAAGGGGCGCACTCTCCAGTGCGCCACCAGCACCACGCTCAGCCAGTGAGCGGGAACCGGTCTCCACATGGGATCTGAACCCTCGGCAGGAATGCCGCCGTGCTCCCAAGGGGCACACTCTCCAGTGCGCCACTGCTTGGTGTTGTCAGCACCACACTCTCCCAAGTGAGCCACAGGCCGGCCCTATGCATTATTCTTTATGAAGAACTCTTTCTTGCAACAGGATACACTGAAAATATTGGGAAATATTGATTTTGCATCTGTCAATTATAA